GAGAGAGAGAGAGAGAGAGAGAGAGAGGTGGATATTTTCTCCTTTTCATGTAAATAGAAAGAGAATCTGACTGAGAGCTAAAAAGATCGTCCGATAGAAAGGTTTCATGAGATAATAAGGGAGGGAATGTATTGAAGGGTAGGAAGGGAGAAAGAAGAGAGAGAAGGAATGGACGTTATAAAAGAGAGAGAGAGAGAGAGAGAGAGAGGGTGGATATTTTCTCCTTTTCATGTAAATAGAAAGAGAATCTGACTGAGAGCTAAAAAGATCGACCGATAGAAAGGTTTCATGAGATAATAAGGGAGGGAATGTATTGAAGGGTAGGAAGGGAGAAAGAAGAGAGAGAAGGAATGGACGTTATGAAAGAGAGAGAGAGAGAGAGAGAGAGAGAGAGAGAGTGGATATTTTCTCCTTTTCATGTAAATAGAAAGAGAATCTGACTGAGAGCTAAAAAAAGACGTCCGATAGAAAGGTTTCATGAGATAATAAGGAGGGAATTGAAGGAATGTATTGAAGGGTAGGAAGGGAGAAAGAAGAGAGAGAAGGAATGGACGTTATGAAAGAGAGAGAGAGAGAGAGAGAGAGAGAGGTGGATATTTTCTCCTTTCATGTAAATAGAAAGAGAATCTGACTTAAAAAAAGATCGACCGATAGAAAGGTTTCAATGAGATAATAAGGGAGGGAATGTATTGAAGGGTAGGAAGGGAGAAAGAAGAGAGAGAAGGAATGGACGTAAAAGAGAGAGAGAGAGAGAGAGAGAGAGAGAGGTGGATATTTTTCCTTTTCATGTAAATAGAAAGAGAATCTGACTGAGAGCTAAAAAAGATCGACCGATAGAAAGGTTTCATGAGATAATAGGGAGGAAAGGAATGGAAGGAGAAAAGGGAGAAGGAATGGGATAAAAAGAGAGAGAGAGAGAGAGAGAAGGATATTTTTCCTTTTCATGTAAATAGAAAGAGAATCTGACTGAGAGCGTCTGATAGAAAGGTTTCATGAGATAATAAGGAGGGAAAGAGAAGAGAGAGAGGAATGGAGAGAGAGAGAGAGAGAAGGATATTTTCTCCTTTTCATGAAAAGAGAAAGAGAAGGTTGACTGAGAGCTAAAAAGAATCGACCGATAGAAAGGTTGGATGAGATAATAAGGAGGAAATGTATTGAAGGGTAGGAAGGAGAAAGAAGAGAGAGAAGGAAAGGAGAGAAAGGAAAGAGAGAGAGAGAGAGAGAGAGAGAGAGGATATTTTTCCTTTTCATGTAAATAGAAAGAGAATCTGACTGAGAGCTAAAAAAGATCGACCGATAGAAAGGTTTCATGAGATAATAAGGGAGGGAATGTATTGAAGGGTAGGAAGGGAGAAAGAAGAGAGAGAAGGAATGGACGTTATGAAAGAGAGAGAGAGAGAGAGAGAGAGAGAGTGGATATTTTTCCTTTTCATGTAAATAGAAAGAGAATCTGACTGAGAGCAGAAGGGAAAAAGATCGACCGATAGAAAGGAGAGAGAGAGATAATAAGGAGGAATGTATTGAAGGGTAGGGAAGGGAGAAAGAAGAGAGAGAAGGAATGGACGGGAGAAGGAAAGAAGAGAGAGAGAGAGAGAGAGAGAGAGAGAGAGAGAGGATATTTTTTCCTTTTCATGTAAATAGAAAGAGAATCTGACTGAGAGCTAAAAAGATCGACCGATAGAAAGGTTTCATGAGATAATAAGGGGAGGAAATGTATTGAAGGGTAGGAAGGAGAAAAAAGAGAGAAGGAATGGACGTTATGAAAGAGAGAGAGAGAGAGAGAGAGAGAGAGGGGTGGATATTTTCTCCTTTTTCATGTAAATAGAAAGAGAATCTGACTGAGAGCTAAAAAGATCGACCGATAGAAAGGTTTCATGAGATAATAAGGGAGGGAATGTATTGAAGGGTAGGAAGGGAGAAAGAAGAGAGAGAAGGAATGGACGTTATGAAAGAGAGAGAGAGAGAGAGAGAGAGAGAGAGAGAGTGGATATTTTCTCCTTTTCATGTAAATAGAAAGAGAATCTGACTGAGAGCTAAAAAGATCGACCGATAGAAAGGTTTCATGAGATAATAAGGGAGGGAATGTATTGAAGGGTAGGAAGGGAGAAAGAAGAGAGAGAAGGAATGGACGTTAGGAAAAGAGAGAGAGAGAGAGAGAGAGAGAGAGGTGGATTTTTTCCTTTTCATGTAAATAGAAAGAGAATCTGACTGAGAGCTAAAAAGATCGACCGATAGAAAGGTTTCATGAGATAATAAGGAGGGAATGTATTGAAGGGTAGGAAGGAGAAAGAAGAGAGAGAAGGAATGGACGTTATGAAAGAGAGAGAGAGAGAGAGAGAGAGAGAGAGGGATATTTTTCCTTTTCATGTAAATAGAAAGAGAATCTGACTGAGAGCTAAAAAGATCGGGACGATAGAAAGGTTTCATGAGATAATAAAGGAGGGAAATGTATTGAAGGGTAGGAAGGAGAAAGAAGAGAGAGAAGGAATGGACGAGAAAAGAGAGAGAGAGAGAGAGAGAGGAGATTTGGATATTTTTCCTTTTCATGTAAATAGAAAGAGAATCTGACTGAGAGCTAAAAAGATCGACCGATAGAAAGGTTTCATGAGATAATAAGGGAGGGAATGTATTGAAGGGTAGGAAGGGAGAAAGAAGAGAGAGAAGGAATGGACGTTATGAAAGAGAGAGAGAGAGAGAGAGAGGGTGGATATTTTCTCCTTTTCATGTAAATAGAAAGAGAATCTGACTGAGAGCTAAAAAGATCGACCGATAGAAAGGTTTCATGAGATAATAAGGGAGGGAATGTATTGAAGGGAAGGAAGGAGAAAGAAGAGAGAGAAGGAAAGGACGTTATGAAAGAGAGAGAGAGAGAGAGAGAGAGAGAGAGAGAGAGTGGATATTTTCTCCTTTTCATGTAGGAAAATAGAAAGAGAATCTGACTGAGAGAGAGAAAAAGATCGTCCGATAGAAAGGTTTCATGAGATAAAAAGGGAGGGAATGTATTGAAGGGTAGGGAAGGAGAAAGAAGAGAGAGAAGGAATGGACGTTATGAAAAGAGAGAGAGAGAGAGAGAGAGAGAGAGGATATTTTTCCTTTTCATGTAAATAGAAAGAGAATCTGACTGAGAGCTAAAAAGATCGACCGATAGAAAGGTTTGAAAGAGAGATAAAAGGGAGGGAATGTATTGAAGGGTAGGAAGGGAGAAAGAAGAGAGAGAAGGAATGGACGTTATGAAAGAGAGAGAGAGAGAGAGAGAGAGAGAGAGTGGATATTTTCTCCTTTTCATGTAAATAGAAAGAGAATCTGACTGAGAGCTAAAAAGATCGACCGATAGAAAGGTTTCATGAGATAATAAGGGAGGGAATGTATTGAAGGGTAGGAAGGGAGAAAGAAAGAGAGAAGGAATGGACGTTAAGAAAGAGAGAGAGAGAGAGAGAGAGAGAGAGAGAGAGTGGATATTTTTTCCTTTTCATGTAAATAGAAAGAGAATCTGACTGAGAGCCAAAAAAGATCGACCGATAGAAAGGTTTCATGAGATAATAAGGAGGGAAATGTATTGAAGGGTAGGAAGGAGAAAGAAGAGAGAGAAGGAATGGACGTTATAAAAGAGAGAGAGAGAGAGAGAGAGAGAGGGTGGATATTTTTTCCTTTTCATGTAAATAGAAAGAGAATCTGACTGAGAGCTAAAAAAGACGTCCGATAGAAAGGTTTCATGAGATAATAAGGGAGGGAAATGTATTGAAGGGTAGGAAGGAGAAAGAAGAGAGAGAAGGAATGGACGTTATAAAAGAGAGAGAGAGAGAGAGAGAGAGAGAGAGAGGTGGATATTTTTCCTTTTCATGTAAATAGAAAGAGAATCTGACTGAGAGCAAAAAAAGATCGACCGATAGAAAGGTTTCATGAGATAAGGAGGGAATGTATTGAAGGGAAAGGAGAAAGAAAGAGGAAGGAAAGAAGGAGAAGAGAGAGAGAGAGAAGGAAAGGACTTTTCATGTAAAAAGAGAGAGAGAGAGCTAAAAAGAGAGAGAGAAAGGTTTCAAGGAGATAATAAGGAGGAAATTTTGAATGTAGGAATAGAAAGAGAAGAAGGACTGAGAGCTGAAAAAAAGAGAGAGAGAGAGAAAGTGGTTTTCATGAGATAAAAAGGGACTGGGAGCTAAAAATTGAAGGTTTAGGAAGGGAGATTGAAGAGAGAGAAGAGAAGGAAAGGACGTTATGAAAGAGAGAGAGAGAGAGAGAGAGAGAGAGAGTGGATATTTTCTCCTTTTCATGTAAATAGAAAGAGAATCTGACTGAGAGCTAAAAAGATCGACCGATAGAAAGGTCTCATGAGATAATAAGAGAGGGAATGTATTGAAGGGTAGGAAGGGAGAAAGAAGAGAGAGAAGGAAAGGACGTTATGAAAAAAGAGAGAGAGAGAGAGAGAGAGAGAGGGTGGATATTTTTTTTGACTGAGAGCTAAAAAGATCGACTGATAGAAAGGTTTCATGAGATAATAAGGAGGAATGTTGAAGGGTAGGAAGGAGAAAGAAGAGAGAGAAGGAATGGACGATAAAAAGAGAGAGAGAGATTTCTTTGGATATTTTCTCTTTTCATGTAAAAGAGAAAGAGAATCTGACTGAGAGCTAAAAAGATCGACCGATAGAAAGGTTTCATGAGATAATAAGGGAGGGAATGTATTGAAGGGTAGGGAAGGGAGAAAGAAGAGAGAAGGAATGGACGTTATAAAAGAGAGAAGAGAGAGAGAGAGAGAGAGAGAGAGAGAGAGGGTGGATATTTTTTTTCATGTAAATAGAAAGAGAATCTGACTGAGAGCTAAAAGATCGACCGATAGAAAGGTTTCATGAGATAATAAGGGAGGAAATGTATTGAAGGGTAGGAAGGAGAAAGAAGAGAGAGAAGGAATGGACGTTATAAAAGAGAGAGAGAGAGAGAGAGAGAGGGTGGATTTTTTCCTTTTCATGTAAATAGAAAGAGAATCTGACTGAGAGCTAAAAAAGATCGACCGATAGAAAGGTTTCATGAGATAATAAGGGAGGAAATGTATTGAAGGGTAGGAAGGGAGAAAGAAGAGAGAGAAGGAATGGATAAAAGAGAGAAGAGAGAGAGAGAGAGAGAGAGAGAAAGAGAATCTGACTGAGGCAAAAATATTTTCGATAGAAAGGTTTCATGAGATAATAAGGGAGGAAATGAAGGGAAGGAAGGGAAAGAAGAGAGAAGGAAATGGACGTTAGGAAAGAGAGAGAGAGAGAGAGAGAGAATCTTTTCATGTAAATAGAGAGAATCTGACTAAAAAGATCGACCGATAGAAAGGTTTCATGAGATAATAAGGGAGGGAATGTATTGAAGGGTAGAAGGGAGAAAGAAGAGAGAGAAGGAATGGACGTTGAAAGAGAGAGAGAGAGAGAGAGAGAGAGAGAGGGTGGATATTTTTCCTTTTCATGTAAATAGAAAGAGAATCTGACTGAGAGCTAAAAAAGATCGACCGATAGAAAGGTTTCATGAGATAATAAGGGAGGAAATGTATTGAAGGGTAGGAAGGGAGAAAGAGAGAGGGAAATGGACGTTTGAAAGAAAGAGAGAGAGAGAGAGAGAGAGAGAGATGGATTTTTTCTCCTTTCATGTAAATAGAAAGAGAATCTGACTGAGAGAAAAAGATCGACTGATAGAAAGGTTTCATGAGATAATAAGGAGGAAATGTATTGAAGGGTAGGGAAGGGAGAAAGAAGAGAGAGAAGGAATGGACGTTATAAAAGAGAGAGAGAGAGAGAGAGAGAGAGAGAGAGAGGGTGGATATTTTCTTTTTTCATGTAAATAGAAAGAGAATTGACTGAGAGCTAAAAAGATCGTCCGATAGAAAGGTTTCAATGAGATAAAGGGAGAAGGGCAGGGAAGGGAGAAAGAAGAAAGAAGGAATGGACGTTAGAAAGAGAGAGAGAGAGAGAGAGAGAGGGATATTTTTGAAGGGTAAAAGGAGAGAATCTGACTGAGAGCCAAAAAAGATCGTGATAGAAACGTTAATAAGGGAGGGAAATGTATTGAAGGGTAGGAAGGGAGAAAGAAAGAGAGAAGGAATGGACGTTAGAAAGAGAGAGAGAGAGAGAGAGAGAGAGGTGGATATTTTTTCTCCTTTTCATGTAAATAGAAAGAGAATCTGACTGAGAGCTAAAAAGATCGTCCGATAGAAAGGTTTCATGAGATAATAAGGGAGGGAATGTATTGAAGGGTAGGAAGGAGAAAGAAGAGAGAGAAGGAATGGACGTTAGAGAAAGAGAGAGAGAGAGAGAGAGAGGGTGGATATTTTTCCTTTTCATGTAAATAGAAAGAGAATTTGACTGAGAGAAAAAGATCGTCTGATAGAAAGGTTTCATGAGATAATAAGGGAGGGAATGTATTGAAGGGTAGGAAGGAGAAAGAAGAGAGAGAAGGAATGGACGTTAGAGAAAGAGAGAGAGAGAGAGAGAGAGAGAGAGAGGATGGATATTTTTCCTTTTCATGTAAATAGAAAGAGAATCTGACTGAGAGCTAAAAATTTCGTCCGATAGAAAGGTTTCAATGAGATAATAAGGGAGGAATGTATTGAAGGGTAGGAAGGGAGAAAGAAGAGAGAGAAGGAATGGACGTTATAAAAAGAGAGAGAGAGAGAGAGAGAGAGAGAGGTGGATATTTTCTCCTTTTCATGTAAATAGAAAGAGAATCTGACTGAGAGCTAAAAAAGATCGTCCGATAGAAAGGTTTCATGAGATAATAAGGAGGGAATGTATTGAAGGGTAGGAAGGGAGAAAGAAGAGAGAGAAGGAATGGACGTTATGAAAAAAGAGAGAGAGAGAGAGAGAGAGAGTGGATATTTTCTCCTTTTCATGTAAATAGAAAGAGAATCTGACTGAGAGCTAAAAAGAGATCGACCGATAGAAAGGTTTCATGAGATAATAAGGAGGGAAATGTATTGAAGGGTAGGAAGGAGAAAAAGAAGAGAGAAGGAGAATGAAAGAGAGAGAGAGAGAGAGAGAGAGAGGGTGGATATTTTCTTTCCTTTTCATGTAAATAGAAAGAGAATTGACTGAGAGCTAAAAAAGATCGTCCGATAGAAAGGTTTCAAGGAGATAATAAGGGGGAATGTATTGAAGGGTAGGAAGGAGAAAGAAGAGAGAGAAGGAAATGGACGTTAGGGAAGGGAAAGAAGAGATAAGAGAGAGAGAGAGAGAGAGAGAGGTGGATATTTTTCCTTTTCATGTAAATAGAAAGAGAATCTGACTGAGAGCTAAAAGATCGACCGATAGAAAGGTTTCATGAGATAATAAGGGAGGGAATGTATTGAAGGGTAGGAAGGAGAAAGAAGAGAGAGAAGGAATGGACGTTATAAAAGAGAGAGATTTTCTTTCTTTTCTTTCTTTTGGATTTTCTCCTTTTCATGTAAATAGAAAGAGAATCTGACTGAGAGCTAAAAAGATCGTCCGATAGAAAGGTTTTCATGAGATAAAAGGTTTGAAGGGTAGGAAGGGAGAAAGAAGAGAGAGAAGGAATGGACGTGAAAGAAAGAGAGAGAGAGAGAGAGAGAGAGAGGTGGATATTTTCTTTTTTCATGTAAATAGAAAGAGAATTTGACTGAGAGCTAAAAAGATCGTCCGATAGAAGAGATAAATGGAGGAAATGTATTGAAGGGTAGGGAGGGAGAAAGAAGAGAGAGAAGGAAGAGAGAAAGAGAGAGAGAGAGAGAGAGAGGGTGGATTTTCTTTTCATGTAAATAGAAAGAGAATCTGACTGAGAGCTAAAAAAGATCGTCCGATAGAAAGGTTTCATGAGATAATAAGGAGGGAATGTATTGAAGGGTAGAAGGGAAGGGAGAAAGAAGAGAGAGAAGGAATGGACGTTTCGAAAAGAGAGAGAGAGAGAGAGAGAGAGAGAGGGTGGATATTTTCTCCTTTTTCATAAAAATAGAAAGAGAATCTGACTGAGAGCTAAAAAAAGATCGTCCGATAGAAAGGTTTCATGAGATAATAAGGAGGAATGTATTGAAGGGTAGGAAGGGAGAAAGAAGAGAGAAGGAATGGACGTTAGGAAAAGAGAGAGAGAGAGAGAGAGAGAGAGAGAGTGGATATTTTCCTTTTCATGTAAATAGAAAGAGAATCTGACTGAGAGCTAAAAAAAGATCGTCCGATAGAAAGGTTTCATGAGATAATAAGGAGGGAATGTATTGAAGGGTAGGAAGGAGAAAGAAGAGAGAAGGAATGGACGTTATGAAGAGAGAGAGAGAGAGAGAGAGAGAGAGAGAGTGGATATTTTTCCTTTTCATGTAAATAGAAAGAGAATCTGACTGAGAGCTAAAAAGATCGACCGATAGAAAGGTTTCATGAGATAATAAGGGAGGGAAATGTATTGAAGGGTAGGAAGGGAGAAAGAAAGAGAGAAGAAGGAATGGAAAGAGAGAGAGAGAGAGAGAGAGAGAGAGAGAGAGGGTGGATATTTTCCTTTTTTCATGTAAATAGAAAGAGAATCTGACTGAGAGCTAAAAAAGATCGTCCGATAGAAAGGTTTCATGAGATAATAAGGAGGGAATGTATTGAAGGGCAGGGAAGGGAGAAAGAAGAGAGAGAAGGAATGGACTTTATGAAAAGAGAGAGAGAGAGAGAGAGAGAGAGAGAGAGGATATTTTTTTCCTTTTCATGTAAATAGAAAGAGAATCTGACTGAGAGCTAAAAAAGATCGTCCGATAGAAAGGTTTCATGAGATAATAAGGGGAGGAAATGTATTGAAGGGTAGGAAGGAGAAAGAAGAGAGAGAAGGAATGGACGTTAAGGAGGAAAGAGAGAGAGAGAGAGAGAGAGAGAGGGTGGATATTTTTATTTTGTTTTATGTAAATAGAAAGAGAATCTGACTGAGAGCTAAAAAGATCGACCGATAGAAAGGTTTCAAGGAGATAATAAGGGAGGGAATGTATTGAAGGGTAGGAAGGAGAAAGAAGAGAGAGAAGGAATGGACGTTGAAAGAGAAAGAGAGAGAGAGAGAGAGAGAGGGTGGATATTTTCTTTTTAAATAGAAAGAGAATCTGACTGAGAGCCAAAAAGATCGACTGATCAATGAGAAAGAGAATGTATCTAAGGGAGAAAGAAGAGAGAAAGAATGGACGTTATGAAAGAGAGAGAGAGAGAGAGAGAGAGAGAAAGGATATTTTTCATGTAAATAGAAAGAAGAAGAGAGACGTCCGATAGAAATCATGGGTAGGAAAGAAAGGGAAGGAGAAAGAAGAGAGAAGGAAATGGATTTTCTTTCTGTCTTTCTTTCTTTTTTTTTTATTTTCCTTTTCATGTAAATAGAAAGAGAATCTGACTGAGAGCTTTCGTCCGATAGAAAGGTTTCATGAGATAATAAGGAGGGAATGTATTGAAGGGTAGGAAGGAGAAAGAAGAGAGAAGGAATGGACGTTATGAAAGAGAGAGAGAGAGAGAGAGAGAGAGAGGGTGGATATTTTTCCTTTCATGTAAATAGAAAGAGAATCTGACTGAGAGCACAAAAAAGATCGACCGATAGAAAGGTTTCAATGAGATAATAAGGGAGGAATGTATTGAAGGGTAGGGAAGGAGAAAGAAGAGAGAGAAGGAATGGACGTTATAAAAGAGAGAGAGAGAGAGAGAGAGAGAGGGTGGAGATTTTCATCATGTAAATAGAAAGAGAATTGACTTTCTTTTTCGTCCGATAGAAAGGTTTCATCTCCTAAGGAGGGAATGTATTGAAGGGTAGGAAGGGGAAAGAAGAGAGAGAAGGAATGGACGTTATGAAAGAGAGATTTTTCTTTCTTTCTTTCTTTGGATTTTTTCTCCTTTTCATGAATAAATAGAAAGAGAATCTGACTGAGAGAGAGAAAAAGATCGTCCGATAGAAAGGTTTAATGAGAGGAAATTTTTGAAAGGGAGAAGGAATGGAGGGAGAAAAGAGAGAGAGAGAAGGAAGGGTGGATAGAAAAGAGTTTCTGAAAGAGAGTCTTTTTCTTTTCTTTCTTTCTTTCTGGATTTTTTCCTTTTCATGTAAATAGAAAGAGAATCTGACTTTCTTTCTTTCTTTCTTCGACCGATAGAAAGGTTTCAAGGAGATAATAAGGAGGGAATGTATTGAAGGGTAGGAAGGAGAAAGAAGAGAGAGAAGGAATGGACGTTATGAAAAGAGAGAGAGAGAGAGAGAGAGAGAGTCTTTTGGATATTTTTTCCTTTTCATGTAAATAGAAAGAGAATTGACTTTTTTCCTTTTCCTTTAAAAAAAAGATCGTCTGATAGAAAGGTTTCCTGAGATAATAAGGGAGGAAATGTATTGAAGGGTAGGAAGGGAGAAAGAAGAGAGAGAAGGAATGGACGTTATAAAAGAGAGAGAGAGAGAGAGAGAGAGAGAGGATATTTTTCCTTTTCATGTAAATAGAAAGAGAATCTTTCTTTCGTCTGATAGAAAGGTTTCATGAGATAATAAGGCCAAATTTTGAAGGGTAGGAAGGGAGAAAGAAGAGAGAGAAGGTTGGGTTTCAGAGAGAGAGAGATTTTCTTTCTTTTTCTTTTCATGTAAATAGAAAGAGAATCTGAAGGAGAGGATAGAAAGGTTTTCCTGAGAAATAAGGGAGAGAAGGATTGAAGGGTGGAAAGGAGAAAAAGAGAGAGAAGAGAGTTAGGAAAGAGAGAGAGAGAGAGAGAGAGAGAGAGTGGATTTTCTCCTTTTTCATGTAAATAGAAAGAGAATCTGACTGAGAGCTAAAAAGATCGACCGATAGAAAGGTTTCAAGAGATAATAAGTTTTCCTTGTATTGAAGGGTAGGAAGGGAGAAAGAAGAGAGAGAAGGAATGGACGTTAAAAAAGAGAGAGAGAGAGAGAGAGAGAGGGTGGATATTTTTCCTTTTCATGTAAATAGAAAGAGAATCTGACTGAGAGCCAAAAAGATTTCCGATAGAAAGGTTTCAATGAGAGATATTTCTTTCTTCTTTCTTTTTTAGGAAGAGGAGAAAGAAGAGAGAGGAGGAATTTTTCTTTTTGTAAAAAATTTTCTTTCTTTTGACTTTTCTTTTTCTTTCTTTAGAAAGGTTTATGAGATAATAAGGGAGGGAATTTCTCTTTTTCAGAGAGAGAGAGAGAGAGAATTTCTCTTTTCTTTCTTTCTTTCTTTCTTTAAAAAGAGAGATAGAAAGGTTTCATGAGTTTTCCTAAGGAGGGAATTTTTTGAAGGGTCTTCCTTTCTTTCTTTCTTTCTTTTATAAAAGAGAGAGAGAGAGAGAGAGAGAGAGGATTTTCATCCTTTCTTTCTTTGACTGAGAGCTAAAAAAGATAATCTGATAGAAAGGTTTTGAGATAATAAGGAGGGAATGTATTGAAGGGGTTTGAAGGAGAAAGAAGAGATTTTTTTTTGTTTTCTTTCTTATTTTCTCCTTTTTTGTAAATAGAAAAGAGAAATGACTTTTTCTTTCTTTCTTCCTTTCTTTCTTTTCTTTTTGTTTTATAAAAGAGAGAGAGAGAGATTTTTTCTTCTTTCTTTCTTTCTTTAAATAGAAAGAGAATCTTTTTGTTTTCCTTAGAAAGGTTAAAGGAGATTTTTCTTTCTTTCTTTCTTTTTTCTTTCTTTAGGAAGGGAGAAAGAAGATTTTTCTTGGACGTTTTGTTTTTCCTTTCATGTAATTTTTCATTTTTCTTTCTTTTTGTTTTTCCTTTCATGCTAAAAATAATTTTTTCTTTCTTTCTTTCTTTCTTTTTTGTTTTCCTTTCAGAAGGAATTTTTCTTTTTTCTTTCTTTCTTTCTTTCTTTTTTTTTTTCTCCTTTCATGTAATAATTTTTCTTTTTTTCTTTCTTTTTTTTGTTTTTCCTTTCATTAAAATTTTCTTTTCTTTCTTTCTTTCTTTTTGTTTTCCTTTTTTGGATTTTTCCTTTATTCTTTTTTTTTCTTTTTTTCTTTTTTTTTTTTTTTTAAATTTTTTTTTTTCTTTCTTCTTTTTTCTTTTTTTTCTTTTTTTTTTCTTTCTTTCTTTTTTGATTTTTTCCTTTCATTATAATTTTTTTTTCTTTCTTTCTTTCTTTTTTTTTTGTTTTCCTTTCATGATATAATAATTTTTTCTTTCTGTCTTTCTTTCTTTTTGTTTTCCTTTCATTTTATAATTTTTTTTTTTTTTTTCTTTCTTTTTTTCTTTCTTTCTTTTTTTGATTTTCTCCTTTCATGATAATAATTTTTCTTTCTTTCTTTCTTTCTTTTTTGGTTTTCCTTTCATGTAATAATTTTTCTTTCTGTCTTTCTTTCTTTTTTGTTTTCCTTTCATTTTATAATTTTTCTTTTTTTCTTTCTTTCTTTCTTTCTTTCTTTCTTTTTTGTTCTCCTTTCATGTAATAATTTTTTTTTTCTTTCTTTAGAAAGAGAATTTTTTGTTTTCCTTTCATGATAATAATTTTTTCTTTCTGTCTTTCTTTCTTTCTTTCTTTTTTGTTTTCCTTTCATGTTATAATTTTTCTTTTTTTCTTTCTTTCTTTCTTTCTTTCTTTTTTGTTCTCCTTTCATGTAATAATTTTTCTTTCTTTCTTTCTTTCTTTTTTGTTTTCCTTTCATGTAATAATTTTTCTTTCTGTCTTTCTTTCTTTCTTTCTTTTTTGTTTTCCTTTCATGTTATAATTTTTCCTTTTTTCTTTCTTTCTTTCTTTCTTTTTTGTTCTCCTTTCATGTAATAATTTTTCTTTCTTTCTTTCTTTTTTGTTTTCCTTTCATGTAATAATTTTTCTTTCTGTCTTTCTTTCTTTCTTTTTTGTTCTCCTTTCATGTAATAATTTTTCATTCTGTCTTTCTTCCTTTCTTTCTTTCTTTCTTTTTTGTTCTCCTTTCATGTAATAATTTTTCTTTCTTTCTTTCTTTCTTTTTTTTTCCTTTTAATAATTTTTCTTTCTGTCTTTCTTTCTTTCTTTCTTTTTGTTTTTCCTTTCATATTTATAATTTTTTTTTTTCTTTCTTTTCTTTCTTTCTTTCTTTTTTGTTCTCCTTTCATGTAATAATTTTTCTTTCTTTCTTTCTTTCTTTTTTGTTTTCCTTTCATGTAATAATTTTTTTTTCTGTCATTCTTTCTTTCTTTTTTGTTCTCCTTTCATGTAATAATTTTTCATTCTGTCTTCCTTCCTTTCTTTCTTTCTTTCTTTTTTGTTCTCCTTTCATGTAATAATTTTTCTTTCTTTCTTTCTTTCTTTTTTGTTCTCCTTTCATGTAATAATTTTTCTTTCTGTCTTTCTTCCTTTCTTTCTTTCTTTCTTTTTTGTTTTCCTTTCATGTAATAATTTTTCTTTCTTTCTTTCTTTTTTGTTTTCTGTTTTGTTTTCTTTCCTTCTTTAGACAGATTTTGATTTTCTTTCTGTCTGTTCTTTTTTTGCATTATTACCTTTTTTTTACTTTAGTCATATTTTATTTTCCTTTCTTTTCTATATTTTTTTAATTCTATTTATTTTTTCTTCCTTTCCCATTTTACTTTCTTTTCAACTTAGTTCTTCTATGTTCTTTTCATTTTCTCTTTTAAGCATTTCTTCTAAAAAAAAATGCCCTTCATTCTTTCGTTAGTCTGCTATCTTTCTTCCTTTTTTCATTCCTTTCTCGTTCTTTATTTTCTCTTTGACGCTATCTTTTTCCACTTCTTGTTCATTTTCTTCTTTTTTTCTCGTATTTCCTGCTTCGTTCCAAACTTCTCCAAAATGGAATCTACATCCTTTCTTTTTCAATCAAAATATTTTAACACTGACATTTCAACACATGGTTCTTTTAACCACGAAGAATAAAAAATGGCAGAGAAAAACGCCAAGAAAATTTGAACTCATTGCAAAATAACGAACATAAAAGATGAAGGCAACACCCGGTCGCCATTTAAAAGCACAAATATAGAAAGGTGAACAATTTTTTTTTCAAAACATGCTTTGTTGCTTTCTTGGTTTGTCAGTTAATCATTCTTCTAGGGAAAGTGAAATCAAATTATACGAAACGAAATTAGTTACAGCCTCATTTCTTAATACGGTGACGGACTTTCGTCGTTCGAGTGTGCACACGTACAACTCTCTCTCTCTCTCACTCACACACACACACACACACACATGTATATATTAGCAGGCTTCGTCCGCTCGCTATTACTTCGCAATATTCACTACTTGAAATATTTGAAAGAAAAATTTTAAATGAAAATTTCATTCATAAATTGGCTTGTTATAGTTAAGGAAAGTTTTTTTTAAATTGATGCCAACTTGTTGAAGACCAAGTAAAATGCAAATTTCAAACACTTTTTTTGCCCTATATAAGACAATATTCCTAAACAGAACTATTTTTCATATGAAAATCAAAACAGTTATTGAATAAAAGAACACTAATGAAAAACAGTTAATTAATGAAATGTAATTTTCTAAAATGAATATGCAAATTAGTTAAACCTTAAGAGTGATATCACATAGAAATAGATAATATTTAATACAGATTTTTGCGCATTTAGTGCATAAACCGCTCAGAAATTCCTCCTTGGAGGGATTGTCGCTATTCGGGTTTAGACCAGTTATGACTAGCTCTGACCAGATAGGACAAGCTCTGACCAGCTACGACCAGCTTAGACCAGCGTCCCGAGTGAAAACACTCGAGTCCCCACGTTAAAAACTGACCTTGTGTCACAACCTGACTCAGTGGGGGGGTCAAGTAAATATCTACTTACCGGTCACAGGGCTCCGTCCCTGCGCTGGTTGTATCACGGCTATGGGGGTCAAGTAAATCTCAGTTCCTCCTTGGTGGGATTTGTAACGCATGGCTTATCATCTCTCAATTGCGTCTCTGTCTGAATGCGCTCAGGGGCTCTTCTGTCAAAGAACTGAAACAATTATACTCATTGCACCAAAGAGATGGGTCAGGTATATCTCCTTACCGGTCACAGGAATCCGTCAATGTGCTGGTAGTATCACAGCTATGACTAGCTTGGACCGCCTAAAACTAGCTTTGACAAGCTATGACCAGCGGCCCGAATGAAGACACTCGGACCCCCACGTTAAAAATCGACCTTGTATGACAACATGACTCAATGGGGTGTCAAGTAGATACAAATCGTTATCTCGAGTAGTTTGTAACATACTATTTATCATCTCTCAGTTGCGTCTCTGTCTTTAGGCAGAGTGTACTCAGGGGAGACTTCGTCAAAGGACAGAGTCGTAACTGAGGAAAATTATACTGAGAGTTGCCGGCCCTGTGGAACAGCTGCCTGAGGCCACGCCCTCTTATTGCACCAGAGAGAGGGATCGGTGCTCGTACCGAGGCCAGCGCAAACGACATAGATGATGCCCACAATTTTCACCACTTGCGCTAACGTTATTGGTCGGTCTTCTTTGACCGAGGCATCCAACTTCTGGTTATGTTCTTCCATTTTTCGATGTTGATGGACAACCAGATAGTCTTTCGTCCATTACACTTGTACTACCCGCTTTAAAGCGTGCTAAAATCACATACACCTTTCGTTAATTCATAATTCCATACTAAGCGAATATCCAGCGATGGAATTCCGCAGATATGACTCCCTCTGCCCACAGAATGTACACTACGGTGTGTGGTTCCTCGATGGAAGTATCTGATGGAGAAAAAGAGAACAAAGTGAGTTCATTCCTTTCTGGAGTACATTAAAAAGGAGTTCATTTTATGGTTTGCTATTTGGGTCAACATATTCATCTTGATTGTTATACTCACAGCATTTCAGTTGATATACCCTTCGGCCTTCTTCCGGTATCAATCGTCGTACTTTATAGGTAACCTTTATAGGAGTTAAGAATAAGTATAAAATCTATGTTACTAATTTTATGCAAAGACGACTAAGTTTACAGATGGAGAACCTAAGTTCAAAATTATTTTAAAATTACAAATCACGTGATTCTATACGTGGATGTAGTAGTAGTAGTAGTAGTAGTAGTTATACCACGTGATTTCAAAAAAACACATTTAAACCAATCAGAAATGAAATTAAAATATTAACTCCAAGGCTTTTGGATGATCTAAAAGGCTATAAAACGGCCATTTTATTCACTTGCGACCAAACATTCAACCTGTTAAAATACTTACCTGGCACAGGGCCCGTCCCTGGGCTGGTGGTATCACGGCTAGGACGAGTTTGGACTGGCTCCGGCCTGGACCAGCTATGACAAGCCAAGACCAACTATGACTAGCTTAGAACAGCTCTTACAAGCTATGACCAACTAAGACCGGCTATGACTAGCTTAGACCAGCTCTGACCAGCTAGGACAAGCTCTGACCAGCTAAGACCAGCTTAGACCAGCGGCCCGAGTGAAAACGCTCGGGTCCCCACGTTAAAAACCGACCTTGTGTCACAGCCTGACTCAGTGGGGGCTCAAGTAAATACACTTACCGGGCACAGGAGTTAATCATTAGCCAATGAGGGTTCACTGAGGCCTGATTAACGTCCCTGTGCTGTAAGTGGAGCTATGATTCTCCTCATTTTAGATGGGAGACGTTGCTCAGTCTCGAGTGTTTCCAGCACTGAGGCAACACCTTCCTCATTGCACTAAAGTAGTTGGAACGGTGTAATACCGATGCCAACATGATAATGGTCGCGGAGTCTGGGCAAAAATCAATTTTTGCCTCTGGCACATATGTATAAGTATGTGTATGGCGCACCCCACGTTAAAACGACCTTTTGTCTCACCCAGCCTTGGTGGGAATGTCGGGTAAATATACCTGTTACAATCGATCAAAATATTGCCACCAGAATTTTCTATGGCTTTACTCTAAAGTTACTTACACTTGTAATAAATTATTTTCCTAAAACACACACACATTAAAAATGAATAATTTTCAACCTCTTTTCAACACACACATACATGGCAACCGCAGGAAGTTGACTCGTAAAAAAATGTAATTAAATTGGTTTAATGTTTATTTCACATAGTTATTTTTTTTCTCTTTCATTCCAATTTTATTTCTCTGATTTTTTGCCTGCTGATGATTCTTAGCATGACTTTTCTGGCAGCTTCTTTCTGCATCAGTTTTTTCTCACTGCTTGTGGCAACAGTATTGCTGTAATGTATCACATATACAAAGCCACGTATTTATCAGCCAGGCTGCCACCAGACCTTGGAGTTTCGAACACAGTCCACAGAAGCAGATAGTTCTCATTCACACGACTCGCTAAAAAAAAAAAAAAAAAAACTTTCTCTGTCTATCATTCTCACGCTAGTTCAGCCAGTCAAAATCGACTTCCTTATTATGTCTTGTATCGAACCGTAAGGTCAATCCCAGGAAGTTGGCGTATTGATACACTTCCTCTAAAAAATAATCGTCTGCTAAACTATTATTTAACATAAAAATGGAAAGCGGAAAGAGAACAATCGACTCACTGGATTGAAGAAAGAATTTGGTTTTGCAATTCTAAGAAAGTTATCAAATATGAAAATATACGTGGAGGTCAGGGAGTACAATGACCGAAACATTGTGAGCACAGCAACCAAGATAAAGATGTTGGCCTGAATACTAAGACATGATTATAATTACTTCTTCATTTCAAATATTCCATCGTAAATAATGAAAAAGGGCTGGAGTGTACAACAGCCAAAATGGCGTGCGTACAAAATGCCAAACAGAAACATTAGGATACCAGGTGCTGTAAGCTTGGATGTGATGGTGGTGTAATAGATAATGACACGGAATTGTTAATCGGAGAGCCGAGTTCCAATTCCAGTTGGGCTCGTTATATTCACTTACGTCCAAGTACCATTGGGAATCCACTTCTCCCCTCCCATCTATGGGTTAATTAGTAAGACTTATATCACTAAACCATTATTATCTCCAAAATACAAAATATTTAGATCTTGGCATTATATGACCACTGGAGGTTGATATGACACTAAACAAGAAGCAAGCAAGAAACAAACAGAAACGAAGAAGACCAGGGTGTGCAATGGTCATACTATATAACCTTATTGGGATTTTAGACCAAATCCTTTATTCAATCTACAGGGATAGGTTGTTCCCGTGCAGCTTTCCATGCTTACGAGGTATTTCATACCAGTTCATACTCACTAGACTTATTCACCTTTGTGTCGCTTGTCCGTTTCTTCCACCGAATTAGATTATGTGACTTTTCAGCACTACCAAACACAGAGATTGAATTTACCGTTACCAAAGAACGGGGTATGTTTTTAAACAGGCCTTTGATCCACTCAGCGATATGTCTCCTAGACAATCCAGTCATGCTATATTGGGACCTATTTTGACGACACTCATAAATACCACCACCTGAGAAGAGACATTAGGTTTTAGGCTGCGAAATTTCATATATAGCTTTTTGAAATACATTAAGTATGTACGCCAAGCGCAAGCGAGACGGATTCCCAGTGCCCAGGTTAACCACACATAGCGACACTTAATCGACAGTTACAGAAGACATCGCGATTACTTGTTTCGTGTGGGAAACATGGAATGATCCGAGTATTTAGGGTGGAATATTTCGGGGCTTCCGATCCTTTGCTTTACCGCATATATCAAGTACCCCGGTGTGAAAGAGTTCAGTTTTGTTCATGTGGACATGTAACTACCACTCAGAGGAATGACGTACAACAGATTTCGCTTATGAGACGTCGTCAAAAGACTTCTTGCCAATTCTTGACACTTATTAAACCAACGGACCGTCAATCTTATTTTGTTGGGCCATTATCTGCTATCACCTTTGCTGTTGGCGAGGTTGCACTATGCTTGTATACGTGCACGTGTGGGAGAGAGAGAAAGAGAAAGAGAAGAGCAGACAGAGAAGAGTAGAGAAGAGATGCGCGCGCGCGCGCGAGAGAGAGAGAGAGAGAGAGAGAGAGAAAGAGAAAGTATGCAATATTTGATATAGTCTCTTCCTCTCAACAAGGTTTTCGCTAAGCGCCGACAGTTTTCTTTCCTTCCACGGCCCCTTGTTCGTCGACGTTAGTCCTACTGACACGAACGTGGCTCTCCAAACACTATAAGTTGCGCCAATATCACAAACCTTTACCTTCTTACGGCGCGAGAACTGATATGCTCCGTAAATAAACGAAGGAGGTGCTTACTCGACAATCCATCGACAGATAAACACTTGCCAACAGCATATATGTCGACAATTGTGACTGTCGGTGCCGCTTGTTTGGCTGTTATGTGCTGTGATTCTTTTAATGAAGCATTCATGGTAGAAGAGAATGGCTCAGTTTGGTGCGCAGTGGAGTGTAACATAAACACACTTGTGTCGACTTAAGGAAGACATATTGTCGTGGCAGACAACAAAGAGAGTAGTAGTAGTAGTAGTAATAAGAATGAATGAGGAGTGGCGAGAAGTAGAAAAGAAGGCCAGAGAGAAAAAAGGAAAAGAAAGAGAAAAATAAAAAGGACGATGAGAATGGAGAAGAGGAGATGAAGAAGTAAGGATGATGATTTGAAAGAATGAGGAGGAGGCGGAGAAGAAGGAGGAGATAAGAAAGAAAAAATAGTGAGGGAAAAATCAGGAAAATAAAAGGACGACAAAAAGATTGAGAAAACGGATAGGAATGCTAAGGAGGAAATGAATGAGGAGGAGGAAGAGGAAAAAATCAGAGAGATTAAAGGAGAGTAAGAAGATGATTAAGAAAAATACACAAGAATGAGGAGGAAGGAAATGAAATGGAGGAAGAAAGGAGGAAGGGGAGGAGAAGAAAGATTGGAAAAAGATGATTAGGAGGATTCAAGTGAAAAGGAATATGGTGATGGGGGAAATGGCTCTTGTCAAATAAGGTGAAAGCAAATGTGGGAAGGGAAGAGATAAAGATAGCGAAAGAGAGAAAAGGAAAATGCCGGACAATGAAGCTGAAGACAAGAATGAAAATGAGGAAAAAACTGCGTTAGCAATGATAAAAGGAAGATGAGAAATAGAAAAGGAAGGTGAAAGAGAAAGAGAGGAAAAACAAAAAGGAAAGAAAGAAAGAGGAAGAGAGATAAAAGAAAGGAGAAAGGAAGAAGAAAGAAGACGAGAGATAAAAGAAAGAGGAAAGGAAGAAGAAAGAGGAAGGGAGATAAAAGAAAGGAAGAAGGAAGAGAAAGGGAGATAAAAGAAAGGGGAAAGGAAGAAGAGAGAAGGAAAGTGATAAAAGAAAGAAGAAAAGAAGAAGAAAGAGGAAGGGAGATAAAAGAAAGGGAAAAGGAAGAAGAGAGAGGAAAGGAGATAAAAGAAAGGGGAAAGGAAGAAGAGAAAAGGAAAGTGATAAAAGAAAGTGGAATAGAAGAAGGAAGAGAAAGGGAGATAAAAGAAAGGGAAAAGGAAGAAGAGAGAGGAAAGGAGATAAAAGAAAGGGGAAAGGATGAGAGATAAAAGAAACGGGTAAGAGAGAAAAAAGAGGAAGGGTGATAAAAGAAACGGAAAAGGAAGAAGAATGAGGAAGAGGAAGAGAAAAGGAAGAAGGAGCGATAGAATAAATGGAAAAGGACGAAGGAAGAAGAAAGAAGGAAGAGAGATAAAAGAAAGGGGAAAAAGAAAAAGGAGGAAGTGAGATAAAAGAAGAAGAAAAAGAAGAAGAAAGATAAAATGAAAAGGGATAAAATGGAAAAAGAAAGGAACAGCGAGACAAAAGATTAGGCATGATAAAATAAAAGGAAAATGAAAAAGAAACGAGATGAAAAGAGAGAAAAGAAACCATAAAAAGAATAGAGAAAAAAGAAAAAAGAAGCTAGATAAAAGAAAAGGGGAGAAGAAATAAAAAAACGAGATGAAAGAAAGGGAAACAGAAAGAGACAACAATGGGGAGATGAAAGAAGGGGAAAAAGAAAAAATGCGTCATGAAAGAAAGAGAAAGGGAAGGAGAAAGAAGAGATCAGAAGAAAGAATGCGAACAAAGAAGACGAGGTGGAAGAAGACGACAAAAGACAAAGAGAGAAAGTAAAGCAATCTGCAGATTCTGTTCAAGAGAGGAGAAATAATGGCGACTCGAGATAAGAAGGTGAACAGAAGCGTTGAAATAAGATGTGGCGTTCATTTCGTTCCTATCTTTTCAATCCTCTTTTTCCCCCTCTTTCCTTTCTGTTTCTCCAATTTTACGTCGATTTGGTTTGAGTGCTAACAAATTTGACAAAATGCCGCTCTTCTGCAACACTTCAATTTGATGGCTGACTGCGTTCGTTTCAATGTCGCCATTTTGCATTCCGATTGGATAGGAATGACCGTCTCCGACATCGACTTGACACTATCAACAGCGCCACCATACAAAGACCATACACGCTTCCTTTTCGCGATTTTGGATTTATTTTAGTCTTTCAATACTGAAATACGGCTTTTTATCTTTATTCAATGGCGGCGAGAAGAAGAAAATATCATAAAGCCGCAGCGTTTTAAACTGCTTTACAAAAGAATATTTTCTGTCTGAATTACTGGGTTGAAAAGATATCAATATTTACACTATTCATATTCAAATTATTGTCCTCATCTTTGTTGTTGTTATCACAACGTTTCGACCGTTGTACCCCACCCCCGGCTTTACTCAGGTGTATATTCAGTTTAGAATTCCATCTGAGGAAGCCCGGAGGGCACAACGGTCGAAACGTTGTAATAGCAACAATAAAGATGCGAACAATAATCTATCAGTCAGTTATGTGCCATGCATGATACACGCTTAGGCGATCATGTATCTTTCGATACATGACTGACGAGGCAGATTTTATCCCACAGTAGCTTGCCATTTCTTTCTGCGGTAGACCAGTTGCCATCCTGGTCTGTCCTGCTATTTACCCATAGCCGGAGGGAGAAGAAGAGGATTCACACCTTTCCCAAGGGTATTAGCACGTAAGTGAATGTAATGGATTCGACTGGAATTCGAACTCGGCTCTCCCTCAATCCGAGCCGCTATCCATTACTCCACCGTAGTCTATAGTGTAAATAAAAGAATATTTATTATAATGTAGCAGTATTGACGGCATAAATCAACCCGCGCATTTTTTTACTTTACGAATGTGTAAGCAAACAAAAAGCAAACAAGAGAAAAAACAAGAAAATAACTTTTCATAACAGGTACAATATTCATATTTAAATGACAACAGTTTTACAATAATTATTAATATGAGTTACTTTCCTTTGACTGGGTTAAAGTCTTTACTACTAAAATATTTTTTTACCTGAACTTACAAAAAGTTGAATTATCTTGTCGCTCAAAATGTTCACTGAAAGAGAGTTTAAAGAATCTTGTAAAGCTGAAAATATGTTGATAAACTTTTAGCTTCAAAGAAGTTGGAGAAGTGAATGTTCCGTAATGTCTAATTTGTTTTCGTTGCTCGTAGTTGAAAGTATTTTTTTGTAATTGGTTGTACTTAAGTTTCGTAAGATTCAATAACGTAATTGAATAGTTTTTAGTAAGTTGCAGAAGTTGGTGAGTGAGTTGTTTCGTTAGAAAGTTAGACTTTATTTAAGTCCAAAGAAGACAAGGAAAAACAAACAAGACCGATAAATATATGTAAACAAATATATGTATTAATAACAAGAAAGGTTACAAGTTACATGGACAGTTACATGGACAGAATGCGTGTAGTGAATATTATGCGTGTGTGTGTTGTGTTGTGGTGAGTGTTCGTACGTACGTGTATTGTGCTTAGCGTGTTCCCAGCATTTGGGAAACACTGTATCTGTGAGCGTTCACATCTGCGAGGTGGTAAGGCTGAACGCCTGAGGAAAAAAGAGCAGGTCGAGGCGAAGGGTCAGCCAGTATTTATAGCCAGAGAGGGACTCCTGTTGAAGGGTTAAGGAGCTAAGGAGGAGCTACCTCCGACAATAATAATGATAATAGATCATATTTTGGTGTAAGCACAAACTACAAGCTGCTCTAGTGTTATAATTTTCATATCAGCTCGTAGTTCAGGTTAATAATATTCCAAAACAAGAGATTACTTAATGAACTGTTTAATTACGTGGATAAATATTACAATACTTGTTGCAGACCCGGTAGGGTGCAGTGCTGGTTTAATACAAAAGTGGCCTTGTGCCAGACACTACACCAAACTACCGAGTCCACAAACAATGTATAAAAAAAATGTATGCGTGAATGAACAGTGAGAGGAAAGGGGTCAATCAAGAAGTGTATAGATTACAAATATTAAAAAGATAGCCTGAATAGAATAACAAAGGCGTCTGGATGCAAAACATGTGTAATTTTTATTAGATGGAAAACAAGTAGATTATCTCGTTGTACGAGATCAGAGAAAATGTTCCGCGCCAAAACAGGAAAGCAAGATGGACAAGACAAGAAAAAGGTTTTTATAAAGTTCTGGAAAAAGGAACTCGTTAACACGAGGTGTAGGTGCGCACAGATAGAAAGGTGTACTCACTGTGGATTTTTGGCGTTGTAAGTGTGTGTAGTATTTTTTTAGGTTCAGGTTCATAGAAAGAATGTTCAGTCGTCTCCGATTTTTGGTCGGGCATTGAATTGACTGCTGGAAAATTTATCGGATTGATGTGGACGTCTAGCCAAAAGGACGAAGAGTTATTTGTAGCTAGTTGCATCGTCTTGGTGAAGTTGTTTATGGCGAGCCAAGAGAGACGAAAAATATTTGTTCGTCAGTAAGATATCCCTGTCTGTATTTAAGGTTGACTGACGAGGGATAAAAATAAGTCACTTGTTGAATACGAAGTTCTGCTTACGACTGTGTCGTGTGTCTCGAACGTTTTCTGGTCGAAAACGGAGAATGTCTGAGCTGCGGGTAGCTTCAAGACGAGAAGAAGTCTTGGTAAAGTGTGAGGTCGACATTGTTGAAATAAGATATTCCGGCCCGCATATGGGTTAAGGGCACGGAATAAATGAGTTGCCCGTCTAGTCAGGTTGAAGAACGGGAAGCAACTGGCTTGCAAACGCTGTTCGTGTGAGACGCCAGGAAACGCGCGGGAAAAGATTCAAAATCTGTTCGGATGATTTCATCAGCAGGAGCTAGCGACCTTCCTCCTCCAGATTACTGCTACGTCTAGCTGTGAGAGAGAGGAAGGGGTGCAAACGCGCGCACACACGCACGAGTGTGAAAGGAAGGGAGGTAAAACTCGCGCGCGCGTAAAATGTAGATGGAATTAATTCTATATACTAACGACTATCGTAGTTAGTGCGACACTATTTGCGACTTCCTTGTGGCCTGTTTGCGACTATTTTTTATAATCAATGGAAGAGTCCATGTTCAACACTTTAGTGTAACGAAGGTCGGTAGTCTTTCTACATAACACCTAGAAAATAATTAAATAAAATACTTGATAAACAGATTGATCGTCTCACCCCTATCCACGCGAGTCGTTGGATCGAATCGTATGCCAAATAGAAGACGTAGCTGTCATGACGGACTATAAAAGCTGAATATGAAATCAAGCCGAGTAAAAAAAAAAAAAAAATAGGGAGCTGAAAACGATATTGGTAACAATGGTTAGGGTCATGCTTATAATATCAAATGGACATGTAACTCTGTCAAACTTACTAAAACCAAAACTAGAGAAACTGAAGATTCGAGGAAAAATCGAGATTGGCAGTGCTAGATTCTGCATGGACATTGGAAAAAGATGCTAGAGATTTGCTGCCACTTAATCTCGGAAAGCTGTGCTGGCCAAACTCTCTTGCTTCGGGCAGAGAGAATCCCCAGACGAGGCTATGTTGAAGGGCATAGTCTCGTCTCGGGCCCGTTTTTTGTTTTTGGTCGAGCCTAGGGGCTCGTATACCCCACATTAAATTCGGCCTTGTGCCACATCTGACCGCGTGGGGCTGTTGGTAGATGTCCTGCAGCTGTGCTGGCCAAACTCTCTGCTTCCGGGTAGATAGGATGCCGAAGGGCAGAGTCTCGTCTCGGGAAACAGCAAACCCGACTGCGTTTTAGACGGGGTCTACGGGGAACTTTTGGCCGATCCTACGGGCTCAGATACCCCACATTAAATTCGGCCTTGTGCCACATCTGACCGCTTGGAGCGGTTGTTAGATATCCTTCAGTTGGAAATTCATTGTCTTGACTCACTTCTAGAAATTGACTACTTCGTCTACGCGCCGCTGGCGAATCTTATATGTGTTGTTCTTGTCCTAAGTATTATCGTCCATTACCAACCTTCGTTTGATTATTCTATTCAGTAACCTTCCCTAGGTTACAACAATAACAATATTTATTCACTTTCGTTTATTAGATACTAAATTACATCACTTAGTATCATTCACAATTTACCTTGACTTTCAGTTAGTCTGATGTATATTTATGAGCGTTCTAAATTTTAAAATTCTAAACTAAAACTAACGATATCTTTCTATATATCTGAGATGAGGTATTATAATTATTTGCATTATTTGAACTGTTATCTTCATCTTCATTGCCATATTCACAAGGTATCGACCGTCGTACGCTCCGGCCTTCTTCAGATGATTGGAATTTCGAATCGAACCCTTTATTTCGTCCATGCATGATTGTATGACATGTGGAACTAGAACAATCTAACCCGGTGGACGAAATAAAGGGTCTGGTTCGAAATTCCCATCACCTGAAGAAGGCCGGAGCGTACAGCGACCGAAACGTTGTGAATATGGAAATGAAGATGAAGATAACAGTCCGAATAATGTAAATAATGTAAATAAAACTAACGATATTTTTTTTTTTTACTTTTGTTTATAAATACTTGTTGCAAAGTAAAATCCTTTCATTTGCCTTGCGAAAGTCCATCAGGGGGTGAAACGCGTGGACTAAGCTAAGTTTTCCGTTTGTCTTCATTCAGATTATCTTTTTACAGATATATTTTTGGTTATATCTGAATTTTTAGGTACACATACACACACACACACACACGCATACGTGCACACACACACAGGTGTGTGTGTGTACGTGTGTGTGTACGTGTGTGTGTGTAGTAAATCCTTTAAACAGGTTTTCTTAATTCATTAATGCCCACTTAATCATATAGTAATTGTGCTTGATCCCCCTTTGTTAGTTCGCACGACAATTACGCCCTGTCAATACCTCATAAATAATGGACTATTCTATTTTCATAGTCTAGAAAGATGAAAGACATTAAAAAACCAATATTTGGTTTCAGTAAAAGAAAAGAAGGTAATTGACGGGTTCTCGTGAATAACGGACTATTCCATTTTGATCGTGCGAGAAGGCAAAAGACATATAAAAGATGCTACTTGGTTTCAGTAAGAATATGAAA